ATGAATGATATTGTGTCCTCACGACTACCTCAACAAAATTTGATTCGGAGTCTAATGCTGCGCGGAATTTAGCTTTCGAGCCATTTGTCATAACTAATGACTTCATTAAAGTAGGTCAAACTTCACCACACTTAAAAAAAACCTTGCGGTTTTCTCATTTCACTTCAATCCCAGCCGTAGAAGAAAATAGTCAGGTATGCTATGGTACAAAGCACAACAATAATGAATAGTTAAAAATGCAATGGAGGAAATAGCATACCGCAAAAGGACCATCAATGATTTTGACCATGTCCTTGCTTTGAATCGGATTTTGTTGACTATCCAAAGCTTGCGAATGTCGAGTGTCTTTTTTCCCTTGAATCGACTGCGGTTTCACACGGAGAACCTAAAAGCGATATAAACCTCAATCCCTCTCTAGAGATGGAATAATAATAACACACTAAACACCATGTTACATTTCACACTTCAATAAATGAAGAAACAGTTTTGAAAAAGACCTTTCCGTGTTGGTTAAGAACCTCCATTGTTTCTTTCTCAAGACGCACGATGACGCCAACATTTTGTTGGTCAAGCTGAACAAGATCATGAAACTGGAACTGCCCCAAAGAATCGAACTCCAGTGGTGATATCCGCACAGAGTTGTACATCTCGAGGTCGCGCTTTCATCTACAATGAATTGAATAAATTTTATGTGGATGCAATGCTAAAAGAATACCATGCAATACCTCATCCATGCTGAGATCGCTCAACACAACTACGAGATTATGCTCTACTCGCACAATGAGACCAGTATCTCCTTCATAGCGACCAGAAATCATCTTGACATGATCACCAGGTCGAAAATATTTCCGCAGTTCCGATATATTCAAAGTAAGCGGCTCCTAAAAAAACTTTTTACAAAATTGATTAGGGATAAAGAGAAGAATTACGAGAAGATTCACGAAGCATATTGCAGGTGACACATGTATTACCTTCAAATCTTCGTGATCAGGTAGCATAACGACCTTGGGTCCATCAACGCTAACAACTTTACCGCGGAGGTTTACCAGCTCTCCCTCAGTTACTTCCACATTATCGCCAGGTGCGAAGAAGTGCGAGTTGTCTTTCACAGTTGTGGATTCTACTAAACGAAACAAAATGAGTGATAAGGGTTCAGTCACGGCACAACGCAAATAACATGACTACAATAAGAAATATAACCTTATGACTATAAAAAAAGAAGATGCACTAGTGAAGAAATCAGTTTCAAGAGTGAAGAAAAAAAGCAAATAAAATTGTTATGTTGGAATGCGATGCGATATAGCGGGCCAAATGAAGTCTAGAGAAGCTATTCGTAATACAGTCGCGGCTGTCATTCCAGATATCCCATTTGATGAATTTAGAAGTCACTTAACCGAATTGCGACCGAAAAAGGGGAAGTACTGTTAAAGAGCACCATAATTCGGGGAAGCAGACAAATGGTGAAGGTAAGGGTTAAAGAT